GTCATCAAAATTGAATAGAAGTATGTTAGAATAAAGCTACCGTTTTTAGACTTTCAAACAAAACCTACAGTTAAGTATTCAATAGGTAAAATATATTGTTTTTACAAGATTACATAGCTAATATAAAAGATTCGTTATTATTATTACGTAATAAAATTTAGAGCGTTTTATTATTTTTTCAAACATGTCTTAGTTACACTTGGTTAATTTAGCTATTCCTGTGAGTTATTTCCCTTGAATAAAATTTGTTATGTGGATTTTCAAATGGGAGATAATTCGTTGCTTAACTTTACATTCCTTTCAAATTCCTGCATCCTAGGTTGACCGCTTACTTATAAATACAACTTTAAGTTATTATTTGCTATTGCAAAAACTATATAGAGCTTAAGTTCTAAACAAAATAGTTTGGTATGTATTTTTAGCTTTATCAAATTGAAAAACAAATACATCAGTAGCCGTTGTAGATTGCAATACTTAATGTTAGTAGACATATTAGTCTTGTCGTAAATAAAACATCTAATAAATTGTCTTTTCATATTTTCACCCTCTCCGTTTTGGAACTCACCTTGGGAGGACTGCAGAGATTTTTTCCCCAGACTTTTTTCTCCCGGGAGTGGGGGGGGGGGGGGGGGGTGCAAGTAAAATTTTACTTCTATGTCTACTTATAATGTGTATCCAATTGATAATAAATTAATGTCACTTTTTTAATTAATTGTTTTCTTATTTTCTTATACATGTGTTTTAGTAATTAATTTGTGTGGAAGGGGCGTTTTAATAAGTTTTGCCTAGGGCGCCGGCACTGGGCCAGAGGCGTAGCTAGGGGAGGGCGGGGAGGGCGGCCGCCCCGGGCGCCGACCCTAGGGGGGCGCAAAAATGGGTCAAAAATAATTTTAAAAACTCATTTTAAACTGCAGTTTTGAATTATAAACAGTCAGAGTAAAGAAATTTAACGTCTGAGAGCCTTTGCATACTGATTTAACTGTTTTCTACCTTGATTGCTAACTGTAAAACATATATCCTTAAGAAACAGTGACCGGAAAAATCGCGTTCCAGCTTTCCTAGATTGGGGAGGGGGGGGTGCTTTTTCGAAGACTAAAATCAGAAAAACTCACTCCGGATTAAGGAATAAATAATCGATATCACTCAGAAAAGAAACCCATTGAACTAAAGCGTATTTTACGATTGTGTTACATAAAAAAAGAGTTGACAAAATCCGATCGTGAATCATATGAGTCGGCTGTGTGTCTTGACTTACGCGGAAGCCCTGAGACTGAATAACCGAACCTCTCGGGTTCGATGGTACCCACTGTTCTAAGCTCTTTTGATTTTCTTCTTTTTATTCGTTTTGGCTTCCTAAGAACATAAGCGTAGGAAACACTTCGTCAACTTATGTTTATGAAGATAGAACCCGAATAATCCAGCCTCCTCCTTCTCTAATTCAAACGATTTCCTTCTGGACTTAGTATTTTTCTCTTCCACTTTCCACATGGACTTCACACAAGCACCTGCATAATGATATTATTTTTTGTCTTCCTCATATTGTGTCCTAACCACCACCTTTTCATTCTCCAATGTCTTTAACCTAGCTACGAGCCATACAGTAAAAGATACATCATATTCAGCTATAGGTCCTGATTGAATTTTTTTGACAATGCATTTGAATTCCACATCGACTTAGAATGTTAATACGCATTTTATCGTATTCCATTGTGAACAATAATTTGCTATTGTATGTCAATTGAATGACCTTAATATAACAAACTTAAAATCCAAATATGTACTATAATATATCATAACAGAGACTGTTCCAAAGATAAAATATAAAAAGAAAATCATACAGCGTAATTATTTTTTTTCCAGACTGCCCCACATACACACACACACACACACACACACACACACACACATATATATATATATATATATATATATATATATATATATATATATATATATATATATATATAGGGCCTATATGGGGGGCGCCAAACTGATAATTCGCCCCGGGCTACGCCTCTGCACTGGGCACAGGCGGGACATCTGCAGAACATGTGACGTCATGAGTGGCTGGCTGACATTCTACGATAGTTCTTTCCCTTTGTAGTCAGTTGACATGACTTTACGGTCAACATGTGCGCCACCATTACACTGCAGTCATCCTTACAAGGCACCATTACACCGCAGTCATCCTTACAAGGCACCATTACACCGCAGTCATCCTTACAAGGCACCATTACACCAAAGTCACCCTTAGAAGCTACCATTACACCGCAGTCATCCTTATAAGGCACCATTACACCGCAGTCATCGTTACAAGGCACCATTACACCGCAGTCATCGTTACAAGGCACCATTACACCGCAGTCATCCTTACAAGGCACCATTACACCGCAGTCATCCTTACAAGGCACCATTACACCACAGTCATCCTTACAAGGCACCATTACACCGCAGTCATCCTTACAAGGCACCATTACACCAAAGTCACCCTTAGAAGCTACCATTACACCGCAGTCATCCTTATAAGGCACCATTACACCGCAGTCATCCTTCCATGCCGTCTTTAGGCTGTAGTCAGCTTACATAATACTGTTACACTGTAGTCGTACTTACATTACACCATTACAATGTAGTCAGCCTACATGCCTCCATTACACCGCAGTCATCATTACAAGGACCATTACACTGTAGTCAGCTTACACCATTACACTGTAGTCAACATACATAGCGCCATTACAATTAACATTACATGCCGCCATTACACCGCGGTCATCATTTCAAGGACAATTACACTATATTCAGCTTACATTACACCATTACACCGCAGTCATCCTTCCATGCCGCCATTACACCGCAGTAATCCTTACTTCAGGCCATTACAATGTAGCCATAATCACAAAAAAATAAACCCTCAACACCACCCCACCCCCCATCCCCTATAGACAACTCTACATACCATGCCGACAATAAAACCAATGATCACAAGGCAGGTAGACACACACACACAAACACAAAATATTACCACCAAAAGCTACTCACACACACACATATACACACCTATTGTTTCAAAGCTACGAAAACAAGACACCTACAAACAGGTACCCGAGCCAGGTGAGAATTTTTTTTTCAACCTGCAAGTAAACAGAGACGAAAATGCAACCCTAGGACCCATCCGACCCGAATAGGTCAAGGTTAGTCCCTAAAGACAAAAGTCCTATTTTCGGCGCCGTGACATATGAAAGATAATAATCAATCGAACATCCGACATGCCATTGGCGGGGTCACGGAGTAAATGTGGCCAGGGAACATGACGTCACTTCCGGGGTAAACAAAACGTGAGCTCATGTCAACAGTTGGGAGAAATATTTGCAGTTGTTGGCTCGCCAAATTACAGTTTAAAGGGTTTCATTTTGTTTAGTTGATTTATGGGCACGATTCTTAAAGGGTTTTATTTTTTTTAGTTGAATTAAGGGTACGTTTCTATAAAGGTTTTATATTTCTAGTTGAATTATGGGCACGTTTCTTTTAAGGTTTTATATTTCTAGTTGAATTATGGACACGTTTCTTTAAAGGTTTTATTTTACAAGTTGAATTGTGGGGACTAATTTAAAATCCCTGAAAGAAAAAAAAATGAATTTTCGATTTAATAATTTAGCATTAATCCTGATCAAACGCTTACCCTAATCTACAGACCATGACAGGTCTACTAGCTGAGAACTTGACCTCTGACCTTAGACATAGACCTCTGATCTTAGACAGTGACCACTGACCTTAGAACTTGACCCCTGAGATGAAGGTGTCGCCCCGCCCACCAATAATGTGAGCCTCACCCAACAGTCCATACAGGTACCTCAGGGAGCATTGACCTGGCTACACGGCTGACCTTTCCCTACCTACAGTAGACTGGAATACACACAGGTCACCCCCCCCCCCCCCCAGCCCCAGTGGAACAAGCGTAGCCCAACATGAGACGTACATTCTAGTTTGAACTCTCAGAAGATATGAACTCAAATTGTAGACTGGTAACTTTATGAATCTTAATTGTACATTTATTTTATAACCATGGGTTGGCAAATTAACCAATGTTGTCATTGTGTTTAATCAGACTTTTTACTCGGGGTTGGGGGGGGGGGGCACTTAAAACTTTCGGGGTGGGGGTCGGAGACACTGGTAAAAGTAGGCCTATATATTTTGTGTATAAATTTTATTTCGTTCGGGAGGGGGAGGGGGGGCGGTAGACGTGCTTCGCCCCCCCCCCCCTCCCCTAAGATGCCTGAAAGAAACACTGGTCCCTGTATGTCGTCCCTGATATTAATTTCCTGTTGTCCTGTATGCCTCGCCTAAAAATATTAATATGTATGGATGCTTTTTTTCCTTAGTAAGTTGCAAAATACATGTATTTTTCCTTCAATATAACTCAATTCTACGTATTTTTCCACTAGCTAAATATTACGTAATTTTCTATCCTTGCTTCTAGATATTACGTATTTTTCCATCCTTGCATCTAAATATTACGTATTTTTCTATCCATGCATCTAAATATTACGTATTTTTTATCCTTGCATCTAAATATTACGTATTTTTCCATCCTTGCATCTAAATATTACGTATTTTTCTATCCTTGCATCTAAATATTACGTCTTCCATCTTTGCATCTAAATATTACGTATTTTTCCATCTCTACTGTACTCATCCTTGGATTTTTAACACTTGTAACCATTTTTCTCATTACGGTTAGAAACGTATCATTCCACCCTCAAGTCAGATATATACGCATGTTTCCATCCCTACTATACCCCTGACAAATGCCTATAAATCTACTAACATGAGACTGTCGAGTAGTTCTTGTGGTATGTACTAGACACTTTCTGGAACTCACCCCCCCCCCCTTCCAGACTATCCAGGTAAGCGGCTATTGCATCACGTGACCCCCCGCCTTAAATGGAGCCGTGTGGGGAGACACCCCCCTCCAGCGGAGACTGGGTTGCCGCCCCTCGCGTGAGCAGGCGCCGGTGAACGTTTGTTGATGAACCAAGAGAGAGAGGGAGAGAGAGGGACGAGGTCGAGTCTGTCCTCTTATTCCAACCAACGTTAGTAGCTAGCCAGTCTTTTCACTTTTTCTTTTCGGATATTAACCATGGTGAGTACACCGAGCATTTTGTCTCCCCTTCACCCCCGTCCTAACGTTGTGTACATGAATGACAAGGCCGACTGGTGGATGCAAGTTTGATTGAAATACATTTCTATTTTAACTTTTGGGGTACTGTTTTAAGATTGACTTGTTCATACTTAATGGATGCAAGTTTGATTGAAAATAACTGAAATAAATTTCTATTTTAACTTTTTGGGGTACTGTTTTATCAGTGATGAATTAGATATATCTTGTTGATACCTAATGGATGCCAGTTTGATTGAAAATAACTGAAATACATTTGCATTTTAACTTTTGGTGTACTGTTTTATGAGTGATGAATTAGATATATCTGGTTCATAGCTGATGACTTCCATTTTGATTGAAATAAGTTTCTGTTTTAACTTTTGGGGTACTGTTTTAAGATTGATGAAGTAGATATGTCTTGTTCATACCTAATGTATGCCAGTTTGATAGAAAATAATTGAAATAAATTTCTATTTTAACTTTTTGGGGTACTGCTTTATGAGAGATGGATTAGATACATCTGATTTATACTTGATGGTTGCTAGTTTGGTTGAAATAAATTTCTATTCTAACTTTTGGGGTACTACTTTAAAATTGATGAAATAGATATGTCTGGTTTATATAACTGTTTATGTTTTGGCTCTCTTTTGCAAAAGATTTCTGATGTTGTTCTCGGGTTTATTTCAGTTGTAGTTGAGATCGATGTTATGTTTACATTCTGTTTATTCCGCAAAGTACAGTAATATCTACAGTAATGTTAAAGTACAGTAATGCCACAGTAAAATAATGTCACAGTACAATTGTCACCTTAGGGCTTAGAGTAATGTCACAGTAAACATTGTCAATGTAACGTAATGTCACATCACAGTAATGTCACAGTACAATTATGTGACAGTACAGTAATATCACTGTACAATAGTCACAATATGACTACAGTGGTTGAGCAGGGTACCTGTGGTCCAGCATTGCGGGCTGTTTGTTGTCAAACAAGATCTCGTGGTCACACAGAAATTAAGGGACCTAAATACCCACCAACAATACAACACATGTATACACAGTATGTGGAATACAACACATGTATACACAGTATGTGGAATACAACACATGTATACACAGTATGTGGAATACAACACATTTATACACAGTATGTGCAATACAGCACTTTTATACACAGTATGTGCAATACAGCACATTTATACACAGTATGTGCAATACAGCACATTTATACACAGTATGTGGAATACAGCACATTTATACACAGTATGTGCAATACAGCACTTTTATACACAGTATGTGCAATACAGCACATTTATACACAGTATGTGCAATACAGCACATTTATACACAGTATGTGGAATGCAGCACATTTATACACAGTATGTGCAATACAGCACATTTATACACAGTATGTGCAATACAGCACATTTATACACAGTATGTGCAATACAGCACATTTATACACAGTATGTGCAATACAGCACATTTATACACAGTATGTGCAATACAGCACATTTATACACAGTATGTGGAATACAGCACATTTATACACAGTATGTGCAATACAGCACATTTATACACAGTATGTGCAATACAGCACATTTATACACAGTATGTGCAATACAGCACATTTATACACAGTATGTGGATTTTGTTGTTAAGCGGTAGCCTATCATCCCGTAAGGAGGGAGCCTTAGAGACTTAGAATTGTTGTTTACATGGTGGTCATGATGTTTTGATGTGTTTGCATTGAAGGATTTATAACATCACAGCCAGCCAGCTGATCAAAACATACATAGATGATTTCACAACAATACCGAAGTGACAAATAATCGTGCCATAATGTTTGTTTAACTGTTACTCTAATCTCCAACAAACAGGCAAATCACATCGTGTCATAACATTTGTTTAACCGTTAGTCTAATCTCCAACAAACAGGCAAATCACATCGTGTCATAACATTTGTTTAACCGTTAGTCTAATCTCCAACAAACAGGCAAATCACATCGTGTCATAACATTTGTTTAACCGTTAGTCTAATCTCCAACAAACAGGCAAATCACATCGTGTCATAACATTTGTTTAACCGTTAGTCTAATCTCCAACAAACAGGCAAATCACATCGTGTCATAACATTTGTTTAACCGTTAGTCTAATCACCAACAAACAGGCAAATGACATCGTGTCATAACATTTGTTTAACCGTTAGTCTAATCTCCAACAAACAGGCAAATCACAAATTACCTGGTCAGGCCAATCTTCAAATAAACCAATTGTTTAATTGGCTGGTCTAATTAATTATCAACACACGAGCGTATCACATATCGTTTCTATGGCTTGGCCAATCATTAACTCACATGCAACGTTTAACCAGTCTAATTGGCTGGGCTATTCATAAACAAACATAGCACACATTGTGTAAGTCAGTAATACATGCCTAGCATCAACAAATATAGCACACATTGTGTAAGTCAGTAATACATGCCTAGCATCAACAAATATAGCACACATTGTGTAAGTCAGTAATACATGCCTAGCATCAACAAATATAGCACACATTGTGTAAGTCAGTAATACATGCCTAGCATCAACAAATATAGCACACATTGTGTCAGTCAGTAATACATGCCTAGCATCAACAAATATAGCACACATTGTGTAAGTCAGTAATACATGCCTAGCATCAACAAATATAGCACACATTGTGTAAGTCAGTAATACATGCCTAGCATCAACAAATATAGCACACATTGTGTCAGTCAGTAATACATGCCTAGCATCAACAAATATAGCACACATTGTGTAAGTCAGTAATACATGCCTAGCATCAACAAATATAGCACACATTGTGTAAGTCAGTAATACATGCCTAGCATCAACAAATATAGCACACATTGTGTCAGTCAGTAATACATCCCTAGCATCAACAAATATAGCACACATTGTGTAAGTCAGTAATACATCCCCAGCAACAACAACCTAACCAACACGATTGTACAATAACATCTAAGCTTGTCATTATTTCAATAAAAGACATCGACTTTCATCTTAGTTAAAAAAAAAAGGCTACGAATTATTTCACGAAAAATAACTAGTTAAAATTCACAGAACTGTTTGGAATATGTCTTAAATTTAACATTTAAAAAAAAAAATTCTTCTAAAAAAAATCTTTGCTCTAGTTTGCACCAAAGTGCGACAAGCTGTTTACAAAATGACACAATTACAATAAACAACATTGAGTGGTAGTTCAAACTGCGTCAATGTTTGCGTGTAAAGACATCGCCCACATGTTTACTGGATAAGTTCCCGGCTGTTGCATGACTTAATCCTCTTTACTCCATGTGGAGCCTAGGGCCTCAACCATAATCTTCCTCTTTGTCTGGTGCCCGTCCGTGTATATCTGCTGAGAGCATCGTGTAGACCAGGGGTCTCCAAACTTTTCAGTCCGAGGGCCGCATTAACTATCGAATTTCAGTTCGGGGGCCAGTTTCTTCCAGGCATGTCTTTGATTTTTCTGGGCAAAATTCCTCAGCCATCACCAACAAACGGTTTTTTCCGTGGACAAAAAGATCTCTGCGGGCCGGATGAGAGGACCTCGCGGGCCGCATTCGGCCCGCGGGCCGTAGTTTGGAGACCCCTGGTGTAGACCTATGTAGATGTGCTCTAACCATTTGAACGGGGAAACTAAATCAGACCTTAACAACTGTCCCGAACTCGGGCACTAATCTTTTACCTGGATACCACGTTGGACGGCTAACCGGTGATCGATTAGATTACACCAGCTTCAAACACTAGTCTATAGGACATCTTTAGAGGCTCATATGGCATTATACAACTATAGAAATAACGGCGAATTTTTAAAAATTAAAATATCTAACCATTATCTTTAAATCTGTTCCAACTACGTTCGGTTACAATAGTGTGTACCATGTAGGTTTAATGTTTTTTTTAATTGGAAAATTAATTGTACGAAAAAGGGTGAAGTGTTTTTTTTAAACAAGTTATTTTAGAACACGCAAATATTAAAAACCATATATAGATCGCTAACACACACCCCCACCCCCACACACAAACACCAACCCCGTATCTAGCACACACACACACACCAACCCCGTATCTAGCACACACACACACCAACCCCGTATCTAGCACACACACACACACACACACACACACACCAACCCCGTATCTAGCACACACACACACCAACCCCGTATCTAGCACATCAACCCCGTATCTAGCACACACACACACACCAACCCCGTATCTAGCACACACACACACCAACCCCGTATCTAGCACACACACACACACCAACCCCGTATCTAGCACACACACACACACACCAACCCCGTATCTAGCACACACACACACACACCAACCCCGTATCTAACACACACACTACCCCGTATCATGGACCAAACATAAGCCCCCCCCCCTATCTATACTTACCTGCGGTTTCTTACATTTTTTTTCTCTGGGAAAGTTTTTTTTAATGTCTTTATTTAAAAAAGAATGGCGAGGGTTGTGCTAGAACATGATAGCAACGTTAGGCTGCTACACACAACTGTGCTACGCACACAACTGTGCTTCACACAGAACGTGCTACACATACAAATGTTGCTACACACAAATTGTTACACACGCAACAACGACAACACAGAAACACACCTATTAGAACCCACACACAATTGTAGATACACATTCACACACATACAACTGTAGGTACAGACTCACACGCACTAGAGTTAGTACACACTCATTTGCTGGGACACACTCACATACGGACATAGGTACACACTCACTCACAACTGCTGGTACACACTCAGACGCAAAACTATAGGTAGACACACACACACACACCAGTTGGTACACTCGCGCACAGGTGTAGGTACACACTCACACACTCTACAGTTGGTACACACGCAACCGTTGATATACACTCACAAAACTCTTAGTACACACACAACTGTTTGCACACACAA